GGTGACCATTTTGCGATAATATTGCTCCAATAGCATAATTTGATGCATCAGTTGTTAATTCGAAAGGTTTGGTAAAATCGGGGTACGCAAGTACTGGTTCTGATGTTAGTATATTATATATATATATATATATATATATATATATATATATATATATATATATATATATATATATATATATATATATATATATATATATATATATATATATATATATATATATATATATATATATATATATATATATATATATTCTCACGTATTGATTCACGGATGGAAAAATGTGATGACACTATATTCCGGGATATCATCCGTTCGCTCGTTGAACTCCGACTGGAATCCTGCATCCGACTGGAATCCTGCAGACGTTTCGCCAAAATCTCACTTGGCATCTTCAATGCTCGCGCTCCGAAAACACTTCGAATATATATATATATATATATATATATATATATATATATATATATATATATATATATATATATATATATATATATATATATATATATATATATATATATATACATATATATATATATATATATATATATATATATATATATATATATATATATATATATATATATATATATATATATATATATATATATATATATATATATATATATATATATATATATATATATATATACAATATTGGAAATAATCCACAAATTCTTTAGAGTGTATTGCTTTCTGGTTTTTCTTTAGGCATTGAGTTGATGGTTTGGTGATATTCGCAAAATTTTGTATAAATTGTTTAATTTCTTTTTGTGTACGGGGTATCGCGAATTTTTGAATGGCCTCGATCTTTTTCGGGTTTGATTGGATGCCTCCTGGTGTTACTACGTGCCCTAAAAATTCGATTTCTTTTCTTAGCAACTCGCATTTGTCCTGTTGAATTTTTAATTTTGCATCGCGTAATTTCGAAAATACAAGGCGCAAATTTTGAATGTGTTCCTGCAAGCCTGTACTAAAAATAATTATGTCGTCGATATAGACCATACAAATTTTATTCTGAAAATCTTTAAGGACCTCGTCCATAACGCGTTGAAAAGTACTCGGCGCATTTTTCAATCCAAATGGCATTCGCAAATGTCCGTTTTCCACGGAAAACACTGTTTTTTCTATCGAATTTTGTGCCATCTCGATCTGGTGAAAAAGAAAAGAAAAGAATTTTGAAAATATTTATTTTTATCGAATTTTTTTATGGTTTCGAAAGAATATATTTCGAATGATTCCTGTATAAAAGATTCTACGGGAATTGGTTGCAACAAGGTCGTGTTAATGGTTTTATCTGTGTAGTTTTGTATTTCAACGGGTGCGAATCCGTTTCTCGCGTGGGATAGTGTTCTAGGAATAAACAAGTTATTTATTTCAGTAGGTGGTACTAAAATATCGCCTTCAAAAACGCTAACTGGCAAATTCTTCATAATTTTCTCATGAGAGTTTATCCGAAAATGAAAATTTTGAATCTGCGGGTTCGCGGGACTTAAAAGGAATTTGAATTGTTTTATTCGAAAGTATTTTGTTATTTAAGTCAATATTTAAATTCATTTTCATCAAATCAGTTAATCCAATAACACCATCGAAAAAGTCGTGAAAATCGAAAAGGATAAAATCGATTTCGTAATCGATACCAAACTCTGTAAGTAAAGCTATAGTAGCTTCAAATTGAGTGTTTCGGCTGCCTACGGCTGTTTTTATAGTATTTTGTGCATTATAAATACAATTCGAAAAATATTGTTCAGCAATAATAGGTTTTAATACTGATCTATTACTACCAGTATCTATTAATGATTTAATATTTAAAGAGTTAATTTGCAAGTAAGGAAGGGGGTTATACGAAGATACGTTTATTTCAATTAAGTTGGGGTTTCTTCTTGGCTGGTTTCGCAAAAATTTTTGGGATACGTCTAAGTGTTGATTGCTTTGATTTGCTAATTGACATTGTATTGATTCATCGATTGTCTCAAAATATTCTTGAGGAAAATAATTTTCAAAACACGGGGCAAAATAATCTAAGTTATCCTCAGAGTCTTGGTTGTCGAAGTTCGTCACGTCATTTGAATGTAATTCTTTAAAGACAAAGTTATTTCGCGTGTTTGGGTTCGATCGGAAATAATCGTTTTGGTTTCGATATTGGTCTCGTCTTATGGAAGGTGTCCTAGACGTTGTCGACATAGGTTCAGGTTTGGGCAAATCTCGTGGGTTTGTTTCTCCGGGCTTAAATACATTTTTTGGTTTACCGAAAACTTAACTGTTGGTAAAGTATTTATGAGGCGGTAGTTGTCTGGGCCTTACGTCAACTGGGCCAGTTGGAAACATTTTTTGTGGGGGCTTAAAGCAATTTTGATTAAAAGGTTGGTGACCGAATCGCATTAAGTTACCAAATTGTGCGGGGTTACTAAATTGCTGATTTGGAAATTGAGCGAGATTGGGTGGTACAAACGCATTATTGCTAAACGGTCTTTGATAAAAATTTTGAAGGTGTTGATTTGTCGGTGCACTGTTTAAATTTTGGAAGTTCGGTTTTTGAGATTTATAAGGCTCGTTCAGAGTCCCATACAATCTTTCAAAATTTTCGAATTCATTTACATATGCCATGGCGTCTTCGAGACTTTGCGGTGGTTTTAAATGCATATTGTTTTTTAAGACGCCTGTGCACCATGCGATAAATGTATTTAGGGCGGTTTGATCATAATGTTTAATATATGAAAGCTTTTCTTCCGGTGTATATTTAGACTCCTTACTTATACGCTGTGCAATGTCGCTCCTTAATAATTGAAGTCTACTTCCAAAATTTATCAAGTGTTCGTTTTTATTGGGCCTAGTCCTAACTAATTCTTGGAATAAACAATTCAGATCTCGGCGATCGGAAAAACACTGAGTCAATGCATCTTTCAATGCTTTCCAATTACTAATTTCTGTGCGATTACCTACTAGAACTGCGGCTCTGCCTACCAGTTTTTCCTGGATACATTCAAAAATATGTTTATTTAATTCCGAATTTGCAAGGGAAGCGTAACCATTAATTAAGCTTTCGCATCTGTTGATAAACTTATTTAAGGTATTGCTATCACCTTCGTAAGGTTGAATGTTTTGCAATTTTGATTTAAATAAACTCCAATTTACTTGTTCTGTCATTTTTTCTGATATTTTTTTTTCACTAAACGTTAGATTTTTGAAAATTTCACTAATTTCAGATTCTACGTCACTACTTAATGCTTTGAAATATTCGCAGCTTGTTTTTGATTCACAATTTAACATCAAAAATTGATCGATTAAAAAAAAATTATTTCCGTAACTACTTGACGTCCGATACGTCTTGCCTAAAATTATCCCTATTAAAAGCCTTACCGGAGGATCTTAAAGGGGCGAAAGGAAAAAAATCGCACTTACGGTATTCCCTTCCCTGATTCTTTGTTGCACACTGCATACGCCAACAAGTTCTTTGGATTGCGCTGTAGCGGTTGAAACCACTCCTCAGAGTAGCCTAATTCGGTAAGTGTCACTTTTCCGCACGATGCGACGTACACACACGAATTGTCTCTGCTTTTTAGTTTTCCGAATTCCGAGGGCACAATCCTACTGACTGCACCAATTATGTTCAAGCGAAGACGAGGTGACTTTTTAAAAACTTTATTTTCAAAATACAATCGAAAATTAAGAGTTTCTGCAGCAGCAGTTACAACAAGAATAATCATATTACTTAAAACTAAGACTTTATAGGTTCGTATCCGAAAAGCTGACAATGTGAATCTCACGGTCTCTTCATAGTACCATCGTGGCCAAATGCTGACATCGTAGATCTCACGGTGTCCTATCCTTATTACGTAGAAATCATTGTACATAACTCGACACCGATTAGCAACCTACATTATACATTTTCTTTTTTCAATCGTCTGCAAAAAGTTGTGCTAGATAATCTGTAATAGTTTTGCCGTTAGTTTTGGTTAGTATACTACTATTTACAAATCTTCTAAGGAATCATTATTTATATAAATCACATCTAGACACTTCATTAAACCCGCTACTATGTTTATTTATTTATTTTTTCAAATTGTTTCTCATTGTCAACAGTATCCAGACAAATTTTCACCTAATTAAACTCTATATCCGAGACAAAAAATTTTGTTTTGCTATTGATCAGGTCCTACGTTTATTAAAAAATCGTTAAATTTTTTTGCTAAAACATGATTATCTGTTTTTATTTCTTTCCAATTATATTTGTCTTTAATTTCGTTAACAATTGTCCAAGCACTTTTACTTTTATTATCTGAATATTCTAGACGATTTACTTATACTTTTCTTACCTTCTTTTAGTAAATTTCCATGTTCTTTCTTTTTTTGAAAATACAATTCTTTATAACGACACCCAAGGGTTTTCATTACATAAAATATATCTAACTTATTTTAACATTATCTGCCAATTAAAACACCCCCGAAAGCAACCCCACACTTGTCATTTTCTTACATTCAAAACATCGCTGACCACATATCATAATGTAATGTCAAAACCAGATTTACCACTTGTCGAGAAAATCTCTCAACCTCTGTGATTCGTCAAAGCCAAAGTTTTGTTTGATTAGTTTCCAGCAGTCCATGCATATGGGTGTCAAAGAAAAGAACATGAAAGAGCCTTAGGACTACGACAAATAAACTCATCAGCTTATTCGATAAAACTAGAATTCTTGCACGTAATCAATTTTTAACCAAAGAAAAATTTTACGAATATGGGAATCAGTCACCCAACCCAACCGTCGTAGCAGGAATCGAAAATATATAAATAATAATTTTGACATCATTTATATGGCACGCCACAGTCAGTTTGAAATTTTATTATACTTAGTACCTCGGGTTTGGCCATTTAAATTTCAACGAAATCAATTAACAATAGAAGTAGTTTCCAACTTATCGTCCCAGATGGACGGTCAATGTCCTACTTGATTGCAGTTTTCAAATTCGGTCAAAAACGATAACCACGTTTTTTTTTTGAGGTTATGAAATCGTTGAGCACCGCCGAGGACCACATCTTGGCGTTCGCCGGCAATTTCAGCCCCGACGCCGACTCCCACCTGGTGTGCATCCAAGACACCCAGAACAACGAGAACAGTTACGCCACCCACGCCATCAACATCCACAACAAACCCAGAAAAGGTGTCGGCGGTTACGGGATGAGCGGGGCCCAGGTTTTTATCGCGTCGTTTGCCATTTTTCAGTTACCGGGGCGAGTTTCATCATCTTCAACGGCGCCTTAAAACCATCCAGCGGCCTAACGGCCAAATCAAACATCGTCGAGGACGGTCTTATGATTCAAGTGTTGCCCGAGCACATGGCCCAAATACGGGACAGCTTGCGCGCTATGAAGGACCACAGAATCGCTTGCGGGTGCGTGGACGCCGCCTCCGACGAGACCGTTAGCATCGTCTGGGGCGAAAACGACGTCGATTTTAACGTGGGGTGAGCAGAACCGAGCAGTAGTTCAAATGTCCCGTCGATAGGTTTGCCGTTCTAAATTAATATCTCTAGCTTGCTATGCGAAAGCGTTTGTTAATAAGTTTTCAAGAGTTTCTTTTTGAGATGTTTCCGGTTTTTTTTTAATAATTTTCGAAAACATGTCCATATTTTGGAAACAAAAATAATGGTTTTGGACATGAATAACATCTTGAATTGTTCCAGTTATTGGATTAATATGCTATTGTGCACTCAAATATGTCTATAACACGAAAGTATTGTGCCTAATATCTTAATTGGTATTTTGGACGGTTGGGTTGGATTGTTATATATATGTCCGATTATCTTCCAGTCGCCATTGATCTCTATCCATCCACAGATTTTCTTCTCGGTTTCTCTCCCGTATTTTATCCTCTCTTTTTTTATGCGGCGGCATCCGGTTTATAACTGGTTTGGGTAATCTGTTTTCATCCATCCGATCTGGATATCCTCCACTATCGTCTTCTTTACTTCCACTGATTCCCTGGATCCTTTCCTTTTGTATTCTCTAGAGTCTTGATCATGATTGTTAGCCAGCTTTCTGCCCTACGCAATACGTAATTAATACTATTATAGATTCGATGTTTGTTCGCTTTCGACATATTTCTGTCCCCAGCAGACATTTCCTTTTTTTTAACAATTTTCGAAAACATTTCTGTATTTTGGAAAAAATTATTTTTTGTACAAAAGAATTTTGAACTAAACAAACACACTGGAACGGGCGCTTTGTTTTATATATGCAACCCGTTATTATCCAGTGGAATTTCTTTCCCAAAAATTGGCTAAAACATGGATAATTAAATCAAAGATTTCAAAAAATAATAGACCGACAATATATTTCATCAGCTTTTAAATTTTGTCATTCATGTAAATGTTAAAATTTCTTTAATATACATAATTAGACAATCAAAAATTAAAACATTGAAAAATGAACCAAACTTATAAAGGTAGGAAATAAACATTGTACAATTTATATGCAGAATTTTCATTGCATATTTTAATAAGTAGTATACTTAGATATGTTACTTTGTAATCTGATTCTACTTTAATTCCTCTATCAAAAACTCTGTCTGGGAACTGGTCCGAGTCTGTTTATCGTTTCTTGAAGGTGTAATCATATTAAAATGTTTATGTTTTACTCCCATGATTTCCTGGATCCTTTAGTTTCTTTTCAAAAATCCATTTTAATTGTTTTTGACCTCACTTCCTTATGTTTCATACTATTATAAATTCGATGCTTGTTCCCTTTCGACATATTTCTGTCCCGAGCAGTAGTTCAAATGTACCCTTGGTAGGTTTGCCGGTCTAAACCAATATTTCTAGTTTGATGTGCGGAGGCGCTTGTTTAATAAATTTAACATTTATATGAATGACAATTTAAAAACTCATAAAATAAATTGTCGGCCAATTATTTTTTGAAATCTTTGATTTTATTATCCATGTTTCAACCAATTTGGTTATTACCTATTATTAAAAATCATTTAGCTCCGCTTTTCTTTGACATTAATGGGTACGAGTGAGACTGAAATTTCACTATATAACGGGATGCATATATAAAACAAAGCGCCTGTTGCAGTGTGTTTGTTTAGTTCAATGATAACAAAATTATTTTATACAAAAAATATGTTTTTCCAAAATACTTATTAAAAGTATGCAATATTATGCAACAAGTGCAGTAAACGGCATTTGACTCGCCAGTTTTTAATAAACGAGTGAGTTAAAAAGTTTATCGAACGTGTTGCATGCTATACTTTATCTACGAGCGTTAGTTTTTGGGAAATATCTCCAAAAACATCCAATTGCTCCCAAATCCGTGCGGTAAAATCCCGGAGATGTCCGAAACTGACGTGGTAAAGTGACACTTCCCGCATGCTAGATCGATCGGTGGGTAATTAGGTATTTCACAGACGGGAGTAGAAAAAATTATTATAACTTAACTTATAAAATATTTTTATAAGTAGTATACTTAGATGTTGCTGATTATTTTTTAATTCCTCTATCAAAAAGTTTAGTACTGCTAATTGCTTGTTTTTTTCCATTAACCCTTTGTTTTAAACTCTTTTGTCTCCATAGGTTGATCTTATTTAAAAAAAAAAACAAAAAAAAAACATGGCTAGGGACAGCTTTGTTCGACTGTAAAACGTTCTAGAACGGTGAATGCACTTCAACTATTCTGTAACTCTAATTTTTTAAACCCGAGAAAAGATAAGAATCTTGCAAACCTTAGCAGTGCATGTTGAACGCTCTTTCATCGGAACATCTTTGTTGTAACTTAGGATACTCCCAGGTTCCAAGGCCTTTTTCCGCAAATGTTTGGGAAAATTAAAAACGATAAGGACTGCAGTAGGCTTTAGAAATTCCACTGGCTTCCAATTCTCATGCCTTATGTTCTTGATCCTCGCTTCAAGAATTTCTGGTCGTTTAAAAGGAAATCAAAGAACACAAAGACGCATTTGAGCAAAAAACTTGAATCACTTTTGTATGAAACTGAATATTTAGGTCCTTAGAAAAGACTTTCTTTCACCCAAAGGCCACACAATTTAATACTACCATTTTTACCAGTGTCTTAATTAATCTGTCCAAACAAAGCTAATTCTGAAGATAAAACGCCATGCTCTTGTCCCAGACACTTAAACAGTTGTTTCAAGAGATAGAATATCATTTAACTTGCTACACCGCAAATAATGCTTTTTCGAGCGCTTTTAAGGCAAATAGTAAGGGGTGTTTTTTTTCGATGTATAAAACTTTAAGTTGCAATAAAACAACGATGGATTATTCGATTGACATGAATTTTATTTATTCGAAAGATAATCTTGTGGCATTACATTTTAAATATGATTTCTGGCATATGACCGCCAAGGCTGGCGCGGATGTAGTCCAATCTGGACGCCGAATTTTCGATAATTTTTTCCAACATTTGTGGCCGTAGATCGGCAATAACACGGCGAATGTTGTCTTCCAAATGGTCAAGCGTTTGTGACTTATCCACATAGACCAATGGCTTTACATAGCCCCACAGAAAGTAGTCTAGCGGTGTTAAAATCTTAGAGGCCAATTCACAGGTCCAAAACGTGAAATTAGGCAGTCACCAAATGTGTCTTTCAATAAATCAATTGTGGCACGAGCTGTGTGACATGTTACGCCGTCGTCTTGTTGAAACCACATCTCCTGGACATCATGGTTATTCAATTCAGGAATAGCTCTACACCGATCACCATTGACTGTAACGTTCTGACCATCATCGTTTTTGAAGAAGTACGGACCAATGATTCCACCAGGCCATAAAGCGCACCAAACAGTCAGTTTTTCTGGATGTAACGGTGTTTCGACATACACTTGAGGATTAGTTTCGCTCCAAATGCGGCAGTTTTGTTTGTTGACGTAGCCATTCAACAAGAGGTGCGCTTCATCGCTAAACAAAATTCGCTTATGAAAATCGGGAAAACGGCAATCTCGTTTTGGCCCATTCAACGAATCTACGCCTTACTTGATGATCGTTTGGCTTCAATTCTTGCACGACTTGGATTTTGTAAGCACGTAAACCAAGATCCTTCCGCAAAATCTTCCATAAAGTGGATGGACACAGATCCAATCCAATTCCTGTGCTCGATGGCGGATGGACTCATTCGGGCCTTCCTCAGTGCTACGCTCTACAGCAGCAATAGCTTCTTCTGTACGCACCGTACGGCGTCTCTGGGGATGCGAGTTATCAATAAGAGTAAACGTGGTGCGAAAACGTTCCATGGTTAATCGAATTAACTGCTCTGATGGACGATTTTGTCGACGTAGTGCGCGATACGTATTCAAAATTGCACTATTTGCAAGCGTTGTTCAGGCGTGATTCTATTCATGATGAATTGCCAAACTAAACTGAAAATAAATCACTTGACAGCTGTTAAATCGATCGCCTTCTTGAACAGTAATGCCAACTTAAAATTCTATACATCGAAAAAAAAAGACCCTGTATAATAATATAGAAACAGATATATAGCAACAAAAAAAAAACGTTCCGTATAAAAACGATTTTTTCGGGGTAGGAAGTGTCCAGACGCCACCCTAAATTACCACACATTTTGTTTTTATTGATGTTTGTGCTCTTCCAGCGTAAAATCGCCTGTCGATGAGATGGCGATGGGCGGCATACCGTCCATAAGGGTACACAACGGTAAAGATTACCCGGGTACAAGCGGGAACCGGGTTATGAGATGGACGGAGGTGTTCATAATACAGGTTAGATATCACCAAAGTTTATTTGGGAATGGATGTGGTATAGTGTTCCCGTTTCGCAGAATAGCGAAGAGACTTCGCTTAACCACGACACGGTCGACATATCGAAGCTGTCCGAGAGCATAGCCAAGGCGAGCTGTACCGCGTTGGTCAAGTATTTAGACTTGCTGGTGTCGAACAATTGCCAAAAAATCGCGATCAGAGTCAATTTGGACACCGAAAACGTACGACCTCGACGTTTACAATGATATGAAAGGCCATTAAAAATAAAACATTGGATTTTGTTTAATAAGGCAAGTTTTTGAGGAATACGCATGAATTTCTGAAAAACGAATCAGAATTTCTGGAAAGTAAATCAGAATTTTTGAAAAACAAGTTAAAATTTCAGAAAAAATAGTCTGAATGTCTAAGTTAAATCAAAATTTATGGAAAAGCAAGTCAGAAGTTGTGGAAAATAAATCACAGTTTTTGAAAAGAAGTAGAAATTCTGAAAAATAAGTCAAAGTTTTTAAAAACAAGTAAGAATTCTGGAAAATAAGTCTGTATTTTTTATTTTTTAAAGTCAGAATTTCTTGTCTAATCAAAATTTATGGAAAAGCAAGTAAGGTGTGCAAAATAAAATTTAGAGCTTTGAAAGTTTAAATTGTATTCTGAATTTTCTTTCTTAATTGAGATCGGATTTTGACTTATGTGCATTCAGTTCAACGTATATTTTCTGATTTTAAAATTATATTATAAATACTTAAAAGAGCCAAAGGTACGGTGATAAAAAACAATATTAAACAGTGACAATATTGGTTAAAAAAAAATTCAAATCTAATGTGGAATTCCATTCCATGTCTGATGTGATTCACACCTCTTCTTGACTGCTTTTTTAAAAGTTCTGACTGATATTCTAGAAATTTCGACCTATTCCTCAAAAATTTGCCTAATATTTTATTTTTGAGGACCTTTCGGCGCTTTCGTTGGACGACAACGCTCTTTCAAAAGTAAATTTTAGGTGTCTTATTCGGCGGGAAGTAACGGCGTCAAACTTCCACCTATTTACATGAAAAGTCTGGATAACGAGTTGGTTCCAGTGCTCCACAGGCTGACTGCCAACGGGTTCGGAGATAATGTGATAGTTTTAGAGTTAATTTTTCGGATATTGAACGCGTGAAACTATGCCGAACATGTCGTCCGTCGGGAATAGTTTAGCGTAGTCGTTAATTACGTAAGAGACTTGCACTTAGAGAACAATCGGCCTTAAACCCTTTATATTTTATTTGATTATTGTTTATGTTACAGTATTTGTATTATTTATATTATTATCTATATTGTCAGTAGGGGGCGTACGTCACTTGTAGGTCACCAAACCCTCCGCATTGGACATCGTTTTCCGGATTATCCTCTACTATCCAAAGATCTGGCTGAAACCGTACTAAATTCCCTCTACACGAAAGTTTAAAATTTATTTTATGTTTACATTGTTATATAGTATGTATATTACGTGTTTATTACAAAATATTAAATAAAAATATTTGATTTTTTAATGGCGTTTCTCACTGACGTTTGTTCCTAGCTCTATTTATTTAATTATTAGTAACTACTACTGCTTACAATACGTCTAAAACATTACTCCATTAGAAAGAGATGCTGGAAATCGTTCAAGTAAAATTACAATTTACCAATTACATTGGCAACGTTCTGGAGTAAATTTTGTAATGATTTTGCATTTTTGATAACTAAATATTTGCAATTGATTGGAAGATTTAACCACTGTCGTGACTTCTTTTATTTGGTACACTTAAGTATACCGAACTTATTACCAGATAAGGTAAGGTGGAGCAGATGCTTTTCCCGGGCAATTGCAGAACATGACTGTTAAAATCTTGTTACTTTAAGAAAAAGTGCTGCCATCTATTATTTTATCTCGTACTACCTCTCTAAAACATTGCAGTTATTATATTTGGTTGAATAGTTGTTGCAAATGTCCAAGAATCACTTATAGAGAGCTCATCAGCAAAAATAAATCAATTTATATTTATTGAATCCCCAAATATTTTATTTATATTTTTAAAAATATGTTACCTTTTTAATATTTTTACGCTCTTGCGCGTCATATTTTTGAGTGAGGGGCTAGTGCGCATAAAAATGTGAGCGATACATAGTATCCCCTTGCCCTACATTTTCAGCGACAACTTTTTTAAATTTCAATACCAGCATGGTGAGAAATTACGTTTGCAAAAGTAATAAAGGGAAAGGATATACCGCAGAGTCTTGAGATTGCAATGTCGACAGTAAAATCAGGCTACCCGTGACTATCATCTCTTAAAGGCAAAAGGGAGCAAAAAATGTCTAGCTATGAAAGACCTCAAAACGTTCCTCTATATGATGAAAAACTACCATCAGTACCATGCAAAAATGGGGTTTTGGCCTGTTTCGGAAAGAACTAATACAAAATAAAACTATGTCAGAAAACCACATAAATACTCAGTTTAAAGATGGTAAACCAGAAGAAGACCGGTTTCATAATTTTAAGCATAGGCATAATTTGTCTATTAAAATACCCCGGAGAGAGATTGTGATTTACTTGAAAAAACTGTAATTGAACTTGGTTTGCAAGAACATCCATTACAAATTGGAACCTGAATGAAAGTAGCTTTTGCGCCGAAAATTAGTGGACCTGGACCGCTGAATATCTTTAAAAGTTTAAACGTTTGTGAACAGTAGAATGCTAAAGGTGGATAGAGATAACTGTATTTAAAAACTACCTGTGATAGTCATTTTTGACGGACATGCTAATAATCTTGGAGGAGATGTTATAAACACAGCTATTACGATATTTAAGTTTGCACCTTAAATCACTAAAGGTCAAACTTATTGAATGGCAAAGAAAAAATGTTGAGGTTGTTGTAACGAAGAGTTTGTTTTCCAAGACGATAAGGGCGATATGGGCAGAAACCAGACTCGAAATATTAAGTGGTTTTACTAAAGCGGGGATAGTTCCGTAAAACTTTCTCAACAATTCATTTGATCCAGTAGTTTTTCAATGTTGGCAAAAAAACATAATGTTGCTAAAGTTCATAAACCTGAATCTGACATAAACCAGCCGGCAGGGCCAAGTTCAAGCTCACAAGAAAATATTTCCATAATATCCCAAGAACACGAGACGATTATGATTGTGTCATTCAATAAGTTGTTATTGAAGAAAAGAAAACGCATGTTCTTAGGAGCAGAGGTAGTAACAAGAGCAAAAAAATATCAAAAATGAAAAGTATATTTTTGAGACAGCTCCTAAAGCGTTTGAAACATAAGATATACATATTTTTTTATAATTATTTATTTCCATCAACTTTAATTAATGTTTTTTATTTTAGTTTGTATAGTTTTATGTTCTAACCTTCAAATAAATATTTTTGTAGTAAAAATATTTTAGCATCTTTCGACTTACCCCTAAAATACCGTCTGTCGTTTTATTATTTTTTATAATTAATTAAAGTAGAAGATGACAAATAAAAAATACTTATATGTAGATAGACTAGCCCCGCGTAGAACACAACGCGTTGATAGCAAAAATAATGACATATTTATGCTCTTGTCCTGGACCAGTGGGGCAAGTGTGTAACATGTACTACTGTAATTTGAATAAATAAATATTAGTAATATGTAGGTGGATGATCACAATAATATGACAAACACACGAAAACTCATAAATTTGCAAGAAGTAATTTCTATACTTCAACTATTAAAATTTTCATTGGCACTTGCCTCAACTGAGCTTACAGTAACCGAGTCATGACCCATGTGTATTTTTAGGATATAGAATAAAATATGGCGAATTTAATAATTTTTTTCAATATTGTGTAAATTTTTACCATAAAAGCCGACTAAATTATCATACCATAATCAAGTTTCGACTGTGCTAGATTATAATAAAGAATTTTCAGAATTATTTGAGATTTGAAAATTTTAGTTGCATTTGTAATTAAGAATCCAAGATTCCTATATTCCAGTCTTACTATTTTCGTATGCAACGTAGCCCCAAGGTTATCTATTGTGGAAACTGATGTAACATACAGCAAGAGATTTGAATGTTTAATACTTTGTTCTATGTCATTTATAAATAAAAGAAAAAATGGTGGGCCCAACCTTGATCCCCGGGGCACCCTAGATGTAACAAGAAATGAATCAAGATTATTATTTTTAACTGAAAGATAATAAAAAAAAATAAAATAATAGAGATTTTTTATTTTTTAATAATAATAATAACACATCCTTTTGTAAGATCAGTAAAAGCTGTGGTACATAGGAATTTTCAAGGAAATACTTTGGTACTTATTGTCGATAGTTTGTGAGTAAAGAGATTTAAAATAAGGTTTGGGCTATATTTTTCTCCCCTACTTGATTTTTTTTTCATTGGTCACAATTTTTCAAAACTGCTGTAGATTTTTATAATTTTTTCCCTCAGACAATGATGTAACCCAATTTTTTTAAAAACGATTTCAAATTTCTAACCTCGTATTTTATATCATAAATTATTGCTTGTGCAAATTTTTGTATTTCTTTTTACAAAAATTGTAAAAACCTGTCGGCAAAATAGATTTAACATCCGCAGCTGCTTTCACATGTCTTCATTTCTGAGACTAATTGCACTGATATTTTTTCAGTGTTCTGTAGACAGTTTTTGGCAATGTCGTACTACATCTTTTAATTTATACACCAAGTCTTGCAATTCTTGGCTGGTGCAAGTAAAATGCAGCACTTTCCTGCCGGAATGTTCAGTCTCCTCATTATATTGTTCCGTTTTTAGTCCAATCCTGAAGACTGGCCCGCTGCTGTGTTCATAAGTATTTGACTACAATATATCAGAATAACATTTCCCCTCTGCATCAATACTGGTTCTTACTTTTATTATGTAATCGATCTTCCACTTTACATCCGTGACATGGGGCAAATGGTTGCCGATGTTCAAAAGCGCTAGCCTAATCTGGGAAAAGTACCTTTCGTAACATTCGGTGGCTACTTTTGATTTTCCTTCGTCAATTTCGCATTCTTGAGTGAGAAACTGAATGAAATCCTGCGACGATCGCTCATGACGGGCGAATTCGGCAAACACGTACGAAAGCGCCGCGTAAAGCAGCTCTATTTCGTACCCCTTCAAGTTTTCAGTGTCTCGAAAGTCTACAACTACCTGCTAGAATGAACCCCGTTAACATGACAATCGACTAACCGTAATTTTCTATTTTCCCGGTTAACCGGTCACAACAATTTTCAGACAGGCTTTTCACAATATCCGTGGAGAAACGGTCCCACGGTAGCATTTTCAGCAAGCCTTTAAAATGCTCTTTAATTTCCATATCTGCGTAATCCTAACCTCACTTGCGACACACAGATCCAAGGTTACTGGGTTTGACTGGTACACACCGATCCCCGCAAACGGTTAACCGAAGAATCATAAACCTAATAGGATTGCCTAATCCGCCAAGTGCAATGCGAAAACTATCGCTAGCTGTGACATAGTGAAGTTCTTTATTGGCGCGTTTACTATGTAAATGCATGGAAATAATCCCAAACTGACCACAGTTTTGATGGACTTTGAGTATTTTGAGTAGCTAATATATCATTTTGTTTGGATAATCACTCGTTATTTTCATTTAATGTCAACATAAATCGTTTTAGTACTGATTTAATAATTATTGGGAAGTAGCGCAGGGTAGGGTAACAGGTAGAAAAAAAATAATACTATTGCAATCAAGTTTGGCTTATAGGTATTATCTTGAAATACATATATTAATTATTGTCACACATAAATACATAAAACTAGCGAACAAAACGATTTACTTGTAAACCTTTGTATTTTACGGCATTCTATCATTTTAAATATACAAAAATCAACAAATACTTATAAACTAGAAATCCCTATTTTTGAATATATTAAAGAATATATTAAAAAACAAAAAATATATTAGGCATACATAACAACTATTTATAGGTGGTAGGTAAATAATAATACGTATTTATATGTACCCTCGTATGTACATAATATAAAAAATACATATTACTACATACACTTAAATCTTTATTTTACAATTTTACCATATCCTATTTACCAATATTATTATGTGTAATATTTTAAGCTTACCTCCTAACTAATAACACCGCTAATAAGCAGCACGAACACAAAACTTTTAAGTCTTTGTTTAAGGTTAAAAATACTGTTTTTCTCAGTTCTCGCCACTCAAGCACATACAACTTTAAAGTATTTGTTAAAGCTTAAAAACAATGTTTTGTCCAAGTTTTTCTTTACAGAAATACAATTAACACAAACATAAGCGCACTACTCACTAGTTTAAATTATTTTAATTGTTCAAAGAACACAAAATACAACGGTTTAATAAACCTTCAAATGCATTGATAGCGTACACAAAAACCGTTAGAGGACTACGCTTACGTCACAAGCGACCACGTGCGATCGATAATTTTGACGAACGTATGATTGTGTATGTCTTATGGGATTGAAAAACCCTATTAGGTTTACGCTTCTTGGGTTAAACCGGTGCTCTTAATTTGATGTTTATTTTATTAAATACATTTTTTGAAATAAATTTCCTTTTCTCAGAAATTAATAGGCGAAGTCTCTTTAAAACATCAAAATAGACTAAAGCACCGAGAACCAAGCTTCTTCTCCTGCTTCTTTACTTCTATTCAGCACGACTATCAGAATTCTCGGCTTTTCTTTAGCAGATTACGTGTGTAAGAATTTTAGTTTAGTTCAACAAATTTTGATGTCCCTTTTCACGATTGTGTTTGCCACTGCTGATGAGTTTCTTTGTTAAGGTTTTTCACGTCGACAAAGTACGATTAATCAACACAGTACCTAGGAGAAATCCAGAAGATTCATAAATCCTATTTATTTCAAATAAAAAAAAAGCATTTATGTGAAGAACCCCCAAAGGTCATAAAAAAAAAATAAAAACACCAAAAAGAATTAAAATAAATTTTATTACATTATCATAATTAGGAATGTGTAACAATACAAAACAAGAGTACAAATAGGTACAGCTTTACATACACAAGTAACCTTAAATAACACTTTAAAACCACAAAAAAAATCGCTTTTATAAAAAATCTTCCTGGCTACTAACCAGGAAGATTCAGATCTAACGGAACAAAGTACATTAGGCACGAAAATATAAGTGGAATGATTGATCACAATCACCGGTCACTAGAACATGACCCGACAAGTTACCTTGTTGTTTGACAACAATCACGAAAAATAAGAAAAAAATAACGTATCACCGATTTAGGAAGTGTAAAGCGACGGACGAAATCACTTGGTCAGTCTTTTTAAGTTTTTCTTACTCTGTTTCGAGCATGCGGCGTACAAGTTCAACCTGGGCGGTGAAGAAGGCTCCGCGACCTCTACAACGTGTTTGGTATCCGCAGGTACCACGGGCACCCACGACGCCTTTCTTTTTATTTCTGTACGACTGTTGGACCTCATAGACGCGTTGTTTTGAAGCAACACCTTTTTCGGTTTCGCCTGGTCTTCTTTGGGACTGAAACTTTTGCTCAGGTCTCTCTTCACGTTGAGGGAAGGATGCGTTGTCTCGCTACTAGAAAAATAACCTACAAAAACGGTTAGTTGCCTGCAGACACCGCAGTCCATGAGTCTTACCGGATGACTGATGAATTTTGTCATAGAACAAACTGTCGGTAAACTCTAGAGGAGAATTACTCAGGTCTAAGAATTTGACTCGCTGCCGTAAGTTATTCGACGTCAACAAATCTGACCCGTGACACCTAAATATAACCTTATTAAACACAAGTAAAAAACAACCGGTTACTTTTATACAGGGTGACCGGAAATTGAGTTCGGAAACTTGGAGGAAAGATTTAACGTGCTATATAATATTAGTAGTAAGCTGTGTAACAAAAATTCGAAATCCCAATATTTTCCGAATGATAGCTTGTCAAAATTCATTTTTTTTTTATTTTTAACACACCGGGCTTAATTATCAACGGAGTAAGCTGGTATTTTACACACAGCCCTGATTCAGTACGAGTCATCGTTACAAAATAAGTGTTTCAGAAATCTGTCACTAGAGGGCACTTTACCTAAAACATGTTTTTTATTTTCCCTGTATTTTATTTATTTAGACGGATAATGCAAAATAGAACAGATTGCCTTAAGCAGAATCACAAATCCTCAAAAATTGTTACTCTTGTTTTAAATCGATAAGTGTTATCGCTTAGTCACAAATCAACTTTTTTATTCTCGGCCCGAATACCCCGCGCTTCTAATTTACAGAAAGGTGAAACTGGATATCGCGATTTGCATTTCTGTTACGGAAAAGCAAGTGGAAATGCAGGCCAGCACCTGTAGGCGACGTGCACTAAATTTTTCAAAACAGTATGCTATAAATTAAAAAAGTGAAAAAATGGCATAAGTCAATGTAATAACATGTTTAATTGAAGTAACATAAGTACATTTAACATTTTAGAAAATAAAAATTAATAATAATCGGGATCAAAATACCCACCGTTCATAAATTATAAATTGAATTATAAAATTAATTTTGGCAAGCTATAACCCGAAAAATATTACGATTTCGAATTTTTGTTACATGACTAACTACCATTATTTTACCACGTTGAATCTTTCCTCCAAGTTTCCGAACACCCTGTATAGTTACTAAACATCTAACCTCAAATGTTGCATTATTCTATTAGGCAATCCAAGGACCTGTCAAATGAAATTCAATATGGGGTCCCGGTGAAACAAAGTAACTGTTTGCTTTATAGCAAACGATCTTATTTTGTGTCTGTTAAAGGTGTTCAGGTGCTTTCTAAACTATAAAAGCTTTTTAATTCTACAAAAACATTCATTTTCGTTAGTGTAGTAATACTTTTAAGGACATAAAATAAGAAAAAGGTTGGAAATTCCTTGTGTCGTGGTTAGTTCTGGAAATATATTCAAATCGCGATCGAGTAAGTTTTTTTGCATTGCCAGCTATTCAAAACGACAAACAGCTAAGAAAAACTGAAATCAATGAAGTTAGCAGTACATGGTTTGGAAAAGATAAGAATCAACCTACTGGAAAATCTACTTACACAGACTTAACAATGACTTTTGCAGCCAAAAGAATTGAAGATTTGGAAGAAAGGAAGAAAACTCACCATATGCTTTATTGCATATTACATCAAATATAAAAAAATGAAAATATTATACTGGCTATGAATATGGCATAGTTCATTTGTTAATATTTGAAAGCATAAAGTAATACCACAGCATTATGTTGCTGTAATCAGTTGACCCTTATAAAGTTTAGAGACTGAATCCACACTTTAAAGATTTGGCATATAATTTTAAAATTTATACTTTTAAAAAACCTATTTTGAAATATTAATTAACAAAGGTGTGAGCTGTAAAGACCAAAATGTTTTATGTAATGCATGAGAAACTCATCCTGGACTTTTGTGAAGCCGAGGGTGGAATAATAGTATAAGTTCACAGAAATGAATCAAATTTAAGGAAACGGTGAAAAAAACCGTCGGCCAGTCAGTTCGGATTTTGTTGTCCATTAAAAAAAAAACCATGACAGCAATGGGGTACAAATTGACCATCCTGCATACGCGAAAATTTAAGCGCAATAATTTACGCTTAAATTTTCGGGATTTTCTTGTAATAATTGCAATATTTTTTTTCAATAATGTCTCCACCTTAAAATAACTAACATACAAAATAGGACGTTGCAAAAATTGACTTGAAACACTTCAAAACTCACCACACAAATGATTTTCTACCAGTTGCTTGCCCTAGACGGCCACATTTGATCACACGGTTTGGATTACCTAATACTGTAATTTACCTGACAAAATATGGAAAATCGAATTGCATATCGCATTAATTAATAAAAGTAGGAGAGAATAATACACTAACTTGCCAACAAATCTGAACCATTACACCTAAATATAACGTCATCAACCACAACTTATTTAAAGATTTTCTAGAATTCGTCTTAGTGATATTTATGGAGTTTAGAACAAAACCTGTTAATTCCTTCCTCAGACGCAGATTATTCAAATTTTTTACATTTACAACAGGTATCCAGCAATGGTCTTAAGTATTTATGGAGCTTCCAATAAAAACAGTTACTTTCAGATAATTCCTTCCAAGTATTTCTCAAAATTACATCCTAAGGTCACAAGATGGTAACGAAAATCTAACCTCATATGTGTTATTCCATATTGTGATTCACGGGACAAAAAAAGTAATAAATGAGGAATGCAACATACTATTTTGAACGCAATCCGATTCCACTGAACTAAAACGCGTATAAAAGAAAAAATAAACTGATTTTTTTCCTCTCGCCTCTGTTAAAAATTCAGAGATTTTCAGGTGGCCCAGCATGTAATCGCTAATTTACGAATGAATGGATTTATCCAAAAATAATAAAAAGTGAAAAATAAAAAGGTAGTTCTTTTTCAAAAAAATCTTCTCGGTGCTGTAGTGGCTGCCAAGGAATAGATAAACTATAAATTATTGAAATTAATAAAAAACAGGAAACAGGAAGTAAAGGGAAAATTAAACATAGCAAAAAGTAATTTTACCGAGGTCTAGGCCCATTGATGATATTTTTTCCTAATCTGCTATTGCTGCTTCAATTTGTGGAGAATCCTATTGTATATTAATATACTAACCTGTCGACAAATTCCTCTGGGGAGTAGGAGAAGCTGCTGCACTTTTGACAATAGATGTAACCACACAAGTACTCCTGGCACTGGCAAATATTGTGCTCGACTACGGAAGGTTTGCCGCACTGGGGACACTTCGTCAGCGATTGGTTGTGGCTCAGCTTGCTCCCCAGGTCAACGAATTTCCTAAAATTTTTGCTGCCGGGGCTCGCGGGCCCCGGCCAATCGCTCGTTTCCGGACTGTTGGGAGGAGTGATGCGGTAGTTCTCTTTGTTGATTTTGTGGCCTGATTTGTATACCTCGTATCTTATGTAAGCCTTAAAATTTCTGTGAAGTGCATCCCTCAGCTTACGGGACACCATAGACACCCTGAACAAGTCCCCGTTTGATAGGTAGCTAAAAATTTTGCCCATTATAAGATCGTTGCCCACCACTTCATTGAATGCTTGACGATCTGGGCTCCTTTTAATCACAGATACATTTTCTACCCATTTCTCCTTCTGTTTCTGTGGTGTCAGCTTCTTGCAAGGTTCAAGCAGCATTAAGCTAGGGTATAGGATTTTATGTTGCTCTTTTAGAGGTGATGCAGCAATGGCAGTAGGAAAGGCAACAACTTTTTTTGGAGTCGCATTTTGATGTCGAACTTTAGCTTCCGGAGTGGAAGAAACGGGTTTAACCTTGCTCGCAAACTCATCTTTAAAATATTTAGGAATGTGCTCGATAGAATCGCCGAATGTGAAGTAATTTTGTTCTATGTTAATGTTTTCAAACTTCCGAGTGAGGGATTCGTTGAGGGTGCTTGAAAATTGCGGGGTGGAGGGACAAGACTCTATTAAATCTGTCAATTTTCTTCGCTTTCCCTCCAAATAGAAACCTTTGCGTTTTCTAAGGTTGACACCCGAAAGGTTTGGTGTGGACTCATTGTCTGTCCTAGGAGTGCTTTCGAGTAACCACGCGGACGATTCCAATCCCGAATCGTGCTGAGAATCTTGAGCGTTTGGACTGCAGTCCATCTGAAACGCGCATATAAATTACCAACCGACTTAAGAAAACTGGAACCAAATACTTACTTTGTTATTTTTAAATTGCACAAATACAACAACTAGACTAAATATACATATCTAGAAAATGTTATAATAAAATTCTGATTTAAGGCACACCATTGACGCATATGCCAGTTGCCGCCAAAAACATCGCTGCTGTTCATGTAAATTATCAGCAGGAATTATGTTACGAATTGTACAGTTACCTATTATCCGTATCAAAAAACGCGAAACACACCACAAAAACCGAACGGAGGCATTAAAATAAACAAAAATTTGTTTTTCGTAAGATTGACAGATTGTCTAATTTGACGCAGACTCCATTGTTATGATTACACAGAACACAGAAATGTATTCAAAAGGCAGAAAAAATATTTGTTCCGTGACAGATACAAGCAAATCTACTGATAGTTAATTGATTTCGAGTACGAATGAGGGGTGCAATAACGAGTAAAAAAATAACTATTCATCTAATTGCATTATTGTTATATTCTTAAACATTTAATGTCTCTCTATGATGAATTATACATATTTTTATTTCCCTAGCAGGCTGTGTTCTTCGCCTAGGTGTCAAATGACAATCGTATTTGTTTATTTTTCTCGTTAGCTTTTAAACTTTAACGTTTTGACTTACGTTACTGCTTTTAGACCGACAACGATGGATTTATTTTATACTTAAGGAACTATTATATATTGTAGTTTTATCGAAGGCACGTATTACCGAAAGTCCGGAAATATTTCAGGTAAAGTTTAATTCGTATTATAATTTAAACTCCATTCGTATGTCTTGCCGTTAAATCAAACCGATCAGTCCGGCAAGGGCGAAACCAATGTGACATAATTTTTACTGTTAAAAAAAAGGGCAAATAGTTTTTGTACCTGTTTAAATTAGTGTATTTCTTCCTCGAAGGGTTGGCTACACTGGCCTGCCATTTCAAAATAAAGCACCTTTTGTTTGTTACGTCACATCATCTCGGTTTCCCATTGGCCGACGCCATTTTATCGACAGTTGAGTAGCTAAACGACTAGTTTTTGATATTTTCAGTTTTTAAGTTGAACCGAATCCATGTTTGTCCGTAACCGACATCTTTATTTATAACGAGTAAGTTTGTTTGCATTTCTCGTGCGTAATCCTAACCGATTTCATACATTCCCTTGCGGAAAATGGCTCGTTCGTTTCCAAAGTGCATTGCAGTGTTTTGCTGGTGCATTGTTATTCGTGGCCTGTTCGGTGAGATGCCGCCTCGGTTGTATTTTTAAATCGAAACGATGGATTTCCGAGTGCCCCGCGACGGAAATCTACGTTCCGTATACGAGCGGGAGCTGCTCTCGGCCAATTTCTTTGTGATCGTTAAATTGTTTACCTATCGATTATTTTTCTTTCGCGAAGTGAAAGGATTGTTTGCTGTCGGCGTATCTGGCACATCATACAATGTATCCGAAATTTCGTAGAGAGCAGACAAAACGGGCCGTGAAAATCCAAATGTAGGTCACGTCTAGGGATATTTTTCATTTCTCTCCCCCAAACCTTGAAATTTAACTGGTGCAGTGGGCCAGAGCACTTACACCGCTGCCTTGTTCCAGGAAACACGCCGAGCGAGGCCCCCTCGCAGTAGATGGCCACACGACACTTAGTTGATAGGAAAAGCTGCAAATAATGAGCCCCATAACCCTAAATTGTTAGTGCATTGCCTATATTCTTATAGTTTTTGTGGCTATACCGAACGCGAACTCTGAGAACCATTCCGACAATGTCCAGCAACGGTCCCAGCAACGGCAAAAAGAGCTCCAATAGTTCCGGGGTTAACACTCCCGCCAGTACACCCGTTGGCAATGGCAGTGCAGTCCACACCTCGGCGCAGAGCTCACCGCCTCCGAACAATGCTCCTAAGTATGGTGAGTTTGGCGGAATATCAGAGTAAAATTTTCATTTTTCAAACTTCAGTGCAATAGCCACTTTAAAATATATTAGGCATTACCTTGCGTATTACCTATTGCCATTTTATAGGACAGCCACTTAATTTTAGATACTTATTGCTTGCATTGCTTAAAATAATGTAATAACCGACCAACATAAACATCATGACACTGTTTATTTTTAAATTGTCTTTGTTTACATTGAGTAAGAAGTTGAGTAACCTTTATTATAGAAAATTTATAAATAAGCAGCAGTTTTCAACCAACTGGCGAAGTTAAGATGTCCGTTTTTCAGTTTTATTTTTTTAACCAAAAGTATATAAATTAACAGGTTTTTGGCTACCACTTCCTAGAACTAACCAATTGCCTTTGGTTAATTTATGAGAACAGTGAGGTTTTATTTTATGTTGCCTATTATTTACCTTAGTACTGTTTACGAATCTGGTCATTTTTAAAAATTATCAGCAGCAACAATTTGAAGGTGTACTTTTAAAAGTCTTCCGAGGCACAATCGCAAAATTCAAAATTAAGGAACTACAGCACAGCCAACTTTTCAAAAATTTAAGAAAAATTCGCCAACTGTAGTAATAAGGGGTAATTATGGGATAAATAGGATAGGGAAATGAATGTCATAGTTATAAATAAACTTTAGTTTTGGCCAAGAATTATCTTACTCTCTGACGTAAAAGAACGCTGGAAGTTTTAACAATACCTTGCTGATATGTTGGATCGCTTAGTTTATATAACATACGTTGGTGGCAAAATGTATGTAATTCTATTGAAAATATTTTACTGAAATATAATTTATTATTTTTAGTATTTTATGGCATAGACAGCTAACATGGTCTTGCAACTTCTAGACATGGAATCAACCAATTTTTGTAAATTTTCCGTGGTAGTTTGCGACCTTCCTGATTAAATTATACTAAAGTGTTCCTGTTGATTTGATATTGGAATGTACTCAAATACGCCGATCCAAGACATCCCAAAGGTGTTCAATGGAGTTTGGATATGGCGATTGGGTTACAGTTACGTTTTTCTCTCTTAAACATTCTTTCACTAACTTGGATGCGTGTTTGCAATGGCATCTCCTCTGTGAATGGTAGCATTGTATTTTCCAAAATCTTTTTGTATTGTAATCGCCCCACTTTTCTCTGTACTTGACTGCTTGGCCCTATCTCAGATCGAAGAAACATCCTCAGACTATTATGTTTTCCCTCCATGTTGATTCAGTCTTCTTACATATTGTCTAGCATCAGATTCAAGCAAGAAAAAGTTGCTTTCATCACTCTGAGGATCTTTGCTATTACCGACTTTTTTTCCATTTTATATAAATCTACAATTTTTTTGTCTGAAATCAGTAAGGGCGACTTGGGAACTACAAATAACAATAATTTGGTCGTCTGCGAAAAACAAAATTGAAAGACAGTAGTGGTCGATCTCTATTCTCATAGCTTCACTCCTTATTAGTTTTTCAGTCCTTAAGTTGAATGAAGGATCCCGATAGGAACTTTCACTGTCTTATCATACTTTTTTGATTTTTAAACATAGTTTACTTACACATGTTTTTCACGCTTAATTCATGGAGCATAGCGTATTTCTTACTTTTTACGAGTAAAAGGATAAAAAGCAGAAATTTAATTTTGATATCAACTGGTAAGTAGTCAGCACTAGTAAAGTTTTTTAAATAGTTACCATTACATTTCTGTCAGTAAGGAAAGTATAGTCTCGGAAAAGGAAGTCTAAGACTATGGGAATAGAACTAACCAACATCACTTTATACACACTTCAGTGCGCAGATGATCAGGTGTTAATAGCCAACGATAAGGACGATATACCGAGTATGAGTACCAAAAATAGGGACTAGTGCCGATAGGCGCGGAACCATCTGACATAGAACTAGAAAATAACAGTTTCATAAGCTCTTGTCAAGATATAATTATTTGGAAATCAGCCAGGCAAAGAAAATTATTTTACGTTTGAACGGAGTATTTTGAAGTAATGGTGGTGTGTAATATCGGTGAAGAGCGGCCTCTTATGTGGGTTAGGTTGGGAATTGACGGAAGATAATAAAAGAACAGTAAGTGCAGTGGAAATGGACGTGTTTAACAGGTCGTTAAGAATATCTCGATCAGAAAGAAAAACAAATGGTGCTCCAATATTTTCGGAAATAAATGTTGATATTTCAAAATGGCTTAATGGATTTTGCTAAACTTGGAGTCGTTAAAAAGGGCTTTTATTAGACTATCCGGCCACCAGATGGCTTTTTGTGACAATGGTCAAACAATAATTTTCTGAAAAAATACATGCAACGATATGAAGAGCCAATAGCGAATCGAACTTGCCGACGTTTCGTCGATCATCCTGTTGGCTTCTTCAGAGCTTAACTTAAATTGAATCGCATTCTACTCTGTACCAGATTAAATATTGTTTGAGGTTGGTATATCTCAGAATTACATCTGCTCTTCTCTCTAATAATTTACACATTAGAGATTTTATGCGTTCCATCACAAAATACACTTAACAACCTTCCAAAGACAATGAGTTGGAAATCAACCTCACACTTGCCACTGTTACCCTTCCTTACACTCAAAACATCACCTACCACATATCAAAAGTTCAAAACCAGATGTACTACTTGTCCAGAGACCGAACGAAAAATGTCAACTAGGCTCAAAAAACATGAAAGAGCTCATCAGCAGTTGCCGAAAACATTCACGAAACTGGACATCAAATTTTATTCGATAAACCTAAAATTTTTGCATGTAATCAATTCTTCTACCAACAAAAAATCCGAGAATCTATAAAAATGTAAGCCACCAAACAGCATAACCCCAGCTCAGATCTTTACCTTTCACTAATATGGGAATCAGTCATCCGAGACAATGTTCATGTTCCCCCTTTAGCTCCGCCCCCCTCAAACAATATATAAGCAGGTACATAGTAGAATGAGAGCCGGTTTCAATTAAACTCTGATTGGCAAGCGTCAACAAGTTCAATTCTTCACGAACCGACGCAGGAGCCCAAAAGATTTGTAAATACAAAAAAATCTTTGATGCTTGTCCGAATTAATATTCCGAACCGTTTTTGAAACTGTCCGGGACGAATAATTCTTTGATTACCATTAACATGTTGATGAACGTTATACTTCAATAAATAAAAGCCGGGTTTTTTAAAATTCTCCTCATAGATTCTCTTGCTGGATTTACGTTGACGTATCCCACAACATTGATTTCTATTTCTTCATTTATAATGAAATTATCATGTCGATTATTTTATCGATTTCTCATTTTCAATTCCAGCTTTCTAAAGATAGAATGTGCAGGAAGGCGACGTCCTGGATAGCGGGCTGCATACAATGCACGGGCCTGTCGAGTTTTCCTCCGAATGTCAGAAACATATCAACTTTTTCTCCAATCGTAAATTGATTATTGTTTTAGATGATAATCCAAATCGATAACACGACAAAATCGATAATCAGATAAAAATGTACAAACTGTTAGAATTTTCAATCGTGCCGACTTGATGATGAATAGAAGCAAATCCACCTAATGAATATTTTGTTTTTATAAAAATGTATTTACTCATCTGGTTTTTTCCTTCCTGTGAGCTTATTTTTTAACGGATTTTTAAAATTTTGGTGTCAAAATGTGTCAAAAAAAGTAAAAACTTTTTGTTTCCACTAGGGTGCTATTTGAAAAAACTAGGTTATCCTAAAAAATTAACAGTGCATTACATTAAATGCGATTTGCCATTAGACAAGTAAAGAAATTTTCATTTACAATTTTTCTCATGATCAGGCGACTTGGTAAATAGTATTTATGATGGCCACAGCCTCCTAGACACAATTTTCAAAAATTAAATTAAAAAAAAAACATCCAATCCTATGTAGAATGATCTCCTGAATCCAAAAATGCAAAAAATATATGTTTTGCTATTTAAAATTCGAAAGTTACTGCCGCTTTCACTCAAACCGGAAGTGCAACCATTGACTACATATTGTTAAAAAATTGGACATTCAGCCAAATTTCAAATTGCTATCTCAAGCAGTCTAAAAGTTATAGAATGTTCCCACTTTCTTGTCACCCGGTATATTTTTTGATCAGACCTTTGACTTTCGTTTCAATCAATTTTGTCGTTTTATTGTTGAACGTTTACTTTCCATAATGGTATTATAGGGTTATTAGATTATAATTGTTATTTCAGAAAAAGTTATCGCGGAAAAAAGTTGTCAATATTTTATTCAGGAAGGACCGCTATTGTATTGAAACAATATTCCTTACTTAGTTTCAAAATTACGAAATGTGCCCTATATAAAAGAATAATGGCGCCTGTTTAGTAACTCTAGTAAGCGTAGTTTAAAAGGCGTTTAAAGGGACTGGCATCGGTTCCCGATGCACATTTCGTACATTTAAAAGAAAATGTAGGAAAATTTAGGATTTCTTTTGAAGAAAATAAACTACCAAGAACATCATTGGAGATGCTGTGTGGTGAGCTTAAAGTTCTGTGCATGCTCCTAGTACAACAGGGGCATTATACAAAATTTCCATGCTTTATTTGGGAGTGGGATAGTCGGACAAGAGATAGACATTGGACTCAAATGGAATGGACAGTGTTTCAAATATTTGTTCTAGAAATTTCCAGCCATATCTGATGCCAAGATAAAAGGTATTTTTGTTGTGTAAATGTCGAGAAGTAATTGATAAGTTTCTTGGGAACTCTGAGGACGAAAACTACCAAGTATTTTCAAAATTTGTTACAACACTGTTATCGTCTAGGTTATAATATGAGTTTGAAAGTGTATTTCCTGTTTTCACACTTGAACAGGATATGCTCTTAAAAACACACCCCGGAATGTGCGGATAGCGCAGGTTTCTGGCAAAAACACGAAGATTTCACTCAAAAAAGTCTGAGTAAAGTTTGTTTTCCCTTTTTTTAAACTAGGATTCCACTTTTTTAATTTTTTAGACCTGTGTTATTATTGCACTGCTTTAAAGACACATTTTGATAATTTAGTTTTATCATAGTCAAAATAGTTGGGGGGAGCAACACATTATTAAACATATTATCCATACTTCTGAGCTTTGACGCAGGCAACATTGGCAAAATCTCTCACGTTACTCGTTCCTAGTGTCAACCACTTCTAAATTGACTAGTCAAATTCGATCAAAATGTTTTAAATAACATCTTATCGCTCTACAATGGCAACACGAAGGCGACGTAACGCACAATATAAATAAATAAAAATAAGTTTCATTGTATTTTTCAAATTATTTTTTATTATTAATCATTAATTATTATTATTAATTATCTGGCAAGTGCATAGAAGGTAATAAACAGTTTCAAATTGATTGAGATAAGATTTAGTGTGTGGAACCTGTTTCAAGGGGAAGCAAAGCGTTTAAAGTTAATTTAGGAAAAAAGATCCTTTTGTAATACATAATCTGTACGATTTGTAATGGTATAGTCTACAATAAAATGCCAGACAGAATAAAATAGATTGTTTATCTTGCTTTTACTTATACTTTAGTAGATGTTCCACCCTAAATGTCTATCTGATCAATGCAAGAGATAGAGCAAGAGAAGAGATACTTGTTGGGTTTATTTTGCGGCTCTGTTGAGCTTATGACCTTCTCATTAACTAAATGGACTGTATATTGTTCACACTTATTCATTTTACTTCTACAATTACAAAAGAAGCAGATCACAAAAATAATATGTTCTTCGATTTCGACGCATGCCTCTCGTCTCGTCTGCCCCACACAACTAAGATCAATCGGCAGCGCAGGTGAAACACAGAAATATATGTGGAACAAGTGGCCTAACCACTTGGCGTTAAATTTATTTAGTAACTTAACTTATACTTCAATCTACGTTGTTTCGCCCTAAATGTCTATCTGATCAATGCAACATAGCCGTTACTAACGATCACGATTATATTACCTGGGAGTAAGAGAGACAGAATCAGTTGTACTTGGAATTTATTAATTTAACTAGTACGTCCACACTCAGAGATGGATTCATGTATTTTCTATGTAATAATAGATCTGGATTTTCCTTAATTATATGCGAATATTTAAGTAGGTGCTATATTAATTTTTTTTCATAATTTGTTAAACAAACTATTGTTCGAAAACTGTCCATGCAATAAAAATTATAACAGTACCGAAAAAAAAAACAACGTGAAAAAATGTATGTCGTACCGCATAAAATATAATATGCCAAAAGTGAGAAAAACATATTTACTTTATATTTACGATGGAAGATCTGCTACTACCAGAAAATAATCCTTCGTCTACATAAATAAGTGGTTAGATCATGTGTATTCTCATTTTCGCAGTATCCTTTTTTTATATTTTCTGTATGTGTTATTATTTAAGTAATCCAATTTTCTTTGGCAACTGTCTGGAGAACTGCCTCCCAAACTTACTTACTCTAATTATAAAATGGTAAGGAGGCTATATTAAAACTTTGTTTTGTAATTTTGGATAATTTTTAACAAGTCACATTTTAAACTAAATGTAGAATGGTATCGTGCATTATTCATAATAATTAATGAGAACTTTTCGAGTTTCGGCAGCAGTTTTTTCAAAAATGGGACCCTGTTTTGTAGTGGCAGCAGTTTTCCAAAAATGCAACCCTGTTTTGTAGTGGAAACTACTGTAATTATCCGGTAATTGGTGCTATCTCGTCGAGAAATATACTTTAAAAAAATAATGTACTACTAATAAAAAATAATTAAAAAGCAACTTCCTGTTTATCGCGACAAAATTAAAGTGACTAACCCAAAATTAAGGGTAGAGTGACAAATTAGTAATCGAAAGTTAGTATTTGGTCCAGTAGCCTTTATTCACAATAATTTTCTGCCTTCTGTTTGGCATCGAGTAGATCAGATTCGAAATCAATCGTCTATAGACTTCTGAAACTAGTCCTTATTTGAGATTTTTTTAGTGCAATTGGTTCTCTATCGGATTTAAATCGGGTGACTGCGCTGGCCATTTTTTAAAACGTTAACATTGTTGGTGTTATACTATTCTTTAATTATTTTTGCAGTGTGTTTGGGATCATTATCGTGCTGCATTTTAGTATCATTTTATGGATAGGGCCCATTCCATAAGCAGAAAAGCGGCTCCAAACCGAAAATATTACATTTTGACTCATCACGAAAGAATACATTTGTCTAATCCTTGGCCGTCCAAATTAAAAGGCGACTTGCAAATAACAGTCCGGCTTCCACCAAACGACGTTGGGTGGTTCTCGAAGATACATTTTCTGTACCCAATTCTGCTAGAACCTGACTTGCAGATAACCGTGGACAACGTTGACTGCTTTTTTTTTAATTCTCCTTTATTCTTGCTTCGTAGGTACCGAAAGTTTTGTATAATTTTTGAAGCAACTTGTTTTGTCACCCTGAATTGTTCTTTTATTGTTTTTTGTGGTATTCCAGCCTTATAGGACTCCATAATTTTTTCTTTCAACAGGCATCTTGCACTATTAGGCTGTACCAAAAAAAACTTCATCTTTACTTAACTAGCGAACCAGTCGTTTTAATTTTATCGCAGAAACAAAAAGAACCCACATTCTAAAAAAGCAAACAAAAAACATGTTTCGAAGTTGTTGATAAATCCAGCATTCTATTTATTTTATAGGGTCAGTACAAAAAAAATTAAGAAATTTTAAGCGGTCGCTCTAATTTTATCCGATACTTTAAATTTAATTGCATTTTTAAAATTATTTCGGTCAGTTGACATAAAAAAAATTGACCGGTTATTTATTTATTTTCAGGCACCCTGGTGCCGAATCGGATCTTCGTCGGCGGCATATCCGCGAGTACGACCGAGGGCGAGCTGATGCAGCTGTTCTCCGCCTACGGCACCGTCAAAGCGGCCAAGATCATTCAGGACCGTGCGGGCGTCTCCAAGGGCTACGGTTTCATCACCTTCGAGACGGAGGATGACGCTCGACGACCCCTCTGCGACTCGGACAACATCGTGTTGCGCGAGCGCAAGCTGAACATCGCGCCCGCCATCAAGAAGCAGCCGTTCGGGGTGAGGGCGCCGCCGCCCCCCTTCGACGGCGTATCCGGACCGCCAGCGCCAGGCGCTTCGCCCGCCCCCGCCCACCCGCCGCCGTTTTTCTTCCCGCCTGCGGCCGCGCCCTACTTTCAGGCCTATTATACGCCGCCGCCGCCCCCACCGCCCCATCAGGGAGCCCAAGGGCCGACGGCCCAGGAGCAGCACGCCGCCCAACAAGCCCAACAGGCACAGTCCGTTTACCAAGGTATCCGAAACGATTATCGTCGTGTCTCGATTTTTTTTGCTGTACAACGAGGCATTTTTCTTTTGGTCACACCCCGTACTATATACGAAAACTCTTGAGGACCTGGACTCTGTTCTGCGCGCCATCTACAGATGTAACGTTAGCCCCCCGGACTGGTAACCAACCCAGTACACCCTGAAGGATTAAAAAAAAAATCGCGGAAATCCATCATTTTTTTGATATTTAATACTCAAGTTTGAAAAAAATCATAAATTCTGAATTAAAATTTAAAAAATGTAAAAAGTCGAGTAAAAATCCATTAAAATTCGGCATATAGGAGAAATAAAACGGGTTTATAGTAAAATTAAAGTAAAATTTTTATTTAGTTTAGACTTTTTAAATATTACAATTGCCAGACGATAGAGGTGAAAAAATTCATTATTTTCGAATAGTCATTTCTAATTTTGATATATTCCGAAAGTCATATTAAAAATAATGTAAAATTCTGCAAATAGGAGGAAATCTATATAAAATTAAAATAAAATTCTTATTTCAATGTTAGAAATGTTTTCAAAAAGTGTTGTATTAATATTTTTTTCTTGATTTTTTCTATAATTTTCCGGAATTGCTGGTGTATAAAATATGTATAGGGTGATAAATTTGAACGCGAAAAAAATGTGGAAAGCTTAAAATTTTTTTAATAACTTCAAATTTCAAGTTTAAAGATTCTAAATAATCTTAAATAAAGAGAAAATTTTATATTCAAGTTTAAAGAAAAATTCATATATCCTGAATTAAAAAGGTAAAAAGGATGTAAAATTCGGCTTATAGGAGGAAAAAATTGTTTTATATGTAAAATTAAAGTGAAACTCGACAAAATTAATAATTTTGCGACTGATCATTTATAATTTTGATATATTTATTTATTTATTATATATTTACACCCCAGACAGACGACTTTAAAAAAAAATGTGGAAAGTGAAAATTTTTTTAATAATTTGAAATTGAAAGTTTAAAGAATCTAAATAACAGCTTAAAAAATATAAAAAGTCGAGTAAAAATAAAGTAAATTTCGGCATATCGAAGAACGAAAATGGGTTTATAATAAAAAATTGTGGAATTTTTTTCAAAAAAATTTGTTTAGTTTTTTTTTCTGAGCTGTGTTACAGAATTGCCAAACGAAAGAGGTGGAAAAATTCATTATTTTAGAATGGTCATTTCTAATTTTGATATATCCAGAATTAAAATAAAAAAAATCATAAAAATAAAGTAAAAATCGGCAAATTGGAGGAAATATGTAAAAAATTGAAAATTTGTTGAAGTTGAAGTTAATATTTTTTTTATGGAATTGCTGGACGATGAAATATACAGAGTTTTACTCAGTTAAAAATAAGAATTTATATCGATATGGGTCCGTTTAAACTGTAAAAATAAAGTAAAATTCGGCATATAGGAGTAACGTTACTCGGTGGCTCGTTCTTATCTAAAATTTTGGAAATTCAAAAAAATATTTAGAATTGCTATGCTATGCATGAAAAAAGTGAACAAGTCAGGAAGTTCTTTGGTTTATCGAAACTGTGGTCTATAAGTCTGTAAAATTCGAGTCGGAAGCAGTAGTTTCTCTTGTGTAAATTTGTTTACTAGTGATAATACCTAATCTGCGCCGCACCTTTGGTTTTGGTGTAACGAGGTTCAAAAAAGAAATTGAGCGTCGTATCTAATCTAACCCCTTGATTACCCGGAAAATTTCGTTGAAATAAAAAGTATTATGGAGTTGCTAGATTATGAAATCTGCCATGTGCCTTTATTTTTGTTGTTACCTTTTAAAAAAAGTTAATATTTTCTTCGTATCTAATCCATATAAGTGCTTAGTACTAATTGTACTAACTCTTATATTACGCTATTATTAGGCTGTAGTATTCGCCATTAAAAAATCCTTCAATGGACGGTTTTCACTTTAACTACCTAGTACATGTATGGCTGAGTCAACCGAAACTAACGAGTAGTTTATTTTACGTCTCTTATGAAGAAGATTTTTATTTGTCTGCGCTTGTACCATACCAAATTCCGGTGGTAGTGTAACAGGTCCTCAAGCAAAACAAGAATTATGTAAGACATTAAAGCCCACAATTAATTTAACAAAGAATATTAAACGTAAAGGAAAAAATGTATAATTTAAAATCATTTCTTCAATATTTTCTACACTGTAGAAAGGCTGGTCCAGAAGTATTAAAAAATCGGCCTCTTAATTTTGGCTCAGCTAAATCAAACCCACGGGAATGATTGTTCGCTTCTCACTTGGTTAGGAGGATCACTTAAACCTAGATAATATCACAACAATCTATTTTCTATCGCTGTATTATCTATCGTTAGTTATGCTCGTGAAGAAATTTCATAATTTCTTCAACCGTTCCGCTCATCTGGAGTAAATACCACCTTTCTTATTTTAAATAGGACACTGTTTTTTTTTATAATTTTTGAAAATTGACTTCTTAGGTGTTTTATAATTTAATTTTATTTGGACCTTCAAACGTCGTTACATGTAATACAATATTTTGTGGCGAATAAAATTTTAGCACGACATTTATGTTATAAAACAAATTTTATTATAAACTTCTAATTAGTAACGGGAAAAAATTGTACCATATTTTCTATTAAAAATATTGAACAAATGATTAATTAAAAACTATAAAAATACTGTACAATATCAACGAATAAACTAATTAAATTGAAATACATAATACTTAGTTTTATGACCTTTCTGTTTAATAACTTCTAGACCTACTGTTTATAAGTCTTTGTCAAAATTCTACCGGCATTTTGCTTTAATTATTTTCCAATTTTCTCTTTTTTTATGCGAACTGCATTTTTAGTCCAAAGATTCTTAATTGGATTGCGATTTGTAGATTGTGAAGGCCACGAAAGTAAATCCACACCAGTGTAAAAAAAGCTGTTTCGCTTTCCTTTGGCTTATGATCCTGTTGATACTGTCATGTTAGGGGCATGTCATCCTCTGCCAACGGTAACGTGATGTCCTGAAGACATCCATTAAATGTCATATACCATACCAAAAAAAAGCTCTCCACATCTTCAGATTACTGCATCAATGTTTAACAGTTTGGATGGTGTGTTTTGGTAATAGTTCCTGGTTGTTCCATAGTATATTATGCCATTTCTTAATTCCCGTGTGATCATTCCAATTTAAATGATCTAGAAAAAACTTTAAAGATAATGGAGGAACTTTTGTTGTTGCTTGACCATGCAGGTCATTTGCCTGAAGCCTTCTTTTCTGAACCGTTCAGCACCTTATTTCTAACCCCAGTTCAGTTTTGGCTCGTATTTAGAAAGTCCGTGTTCTCGAGGAATCCAAAAGTGTACATATGAAAAAATAAAATCATCTACATGAAAGTATGGTCGGTACTATTTGCGATGGCAGTGCATAATAGTTTTTCTACTCCCGTCTCTAAAATGTTTAATTCCCTAATTACACACCGATCCAGCGTGCGGAAAGAGTTACTTTACCACGTCAGTTTCGTTTCCCACGAATCCGAGGCACTTCGGACATTTCCGGTAATTTACCGCACGGGTTTGGGAGCAATCGGATGTTCATTTGTCAATTTTGACATTGATGACAGTAAATGTATTCGTGTTTTGCGAAAATGTACCCAAAAACTAACGACCATAAAAAAAGTATAGTGTGCAACACGTTCGGTAAACTTTTTAAGTCGCTCGTTTATTAAACACTCACTTGTTGCGTAATATACTATTTTAATAAAAATCTGTCAGTTGTATAACACATGCAGAAAATATGATAAAAGAATACTGAGAAAAGAGAAGACACTTCATATAACGGTACCACTAGTTATTAATGGGGTCGAAGGATCATTTTCTGGTAGTAGCAGTTCCAATTTTGGCTCTGATTCATCGCAGATACAAAGTAAATATGGTTTACTTGTATATTTTCGATTTTTTTTTATATTGTTTTAATTTTTATTGCATGGACAGAGTTTTCCGACAATGGTTTATTTACCAAATTATCATAATTTTTTCATGTAGATTCACCTACTTAAATATTCGCATAAGGAAAATCCTGTTCTATTATTACATAGAAAATACATGAATCCATCTGTGAGTAATTAAATGAATAAATGCAGTAAAAGTACAACTGATTCTGTCTCTCTTACTCCCAAGTATATAATATAATCGTGATCGTTAGTGACTACTGTCTTGCATTGATCAAATAGACATTTGGGCAACAACTGTTAAAGTATAAGTGGAAGCCGGATGAACAATCAATTTTATTCTATCTGGCATTTTATTGCCGACTATTCCATCCACAAATCGTACCGACTATACTTAGTTCGTAGTTTTTGAGTTAAGGTAGGTAGATAGGAACCTTATTTCCTGTTTCCTATTAACTCTGATCAGGTTAAAGGTATAAATAGAGAAAACAATTGTTCTAATGCTGTTAAGTAGTTGTAAGAGATACAAGGAAATTCGAGACGCCATAAGGAACATTGTTATAAAGGTCCTTTTTTCAGCAGTCTATTGTACCATTCGTTTGGTTGTTTTGCAGGACCCCCCGTTTACCCGGGACAGACCGGACACCCGCAAGCCGCCGCGTACCCTTCGATGATGTTCCCGCAGACGATCTACATGCCGCAGCAGTACCCGATGGCGATGCCGGTAAGTACCGATCCCCACCCCTTCGCCTTTATAACCGCCATAATTGCGTTGAAACGCGCCAGTGTGTGATACCGTGCGTGTTGTTTTTTTTTCTCTCTCTTGTGCTTGCCTCTCTCCCTCGTGTGACGCAGTCCAGCAACTACCATCACGTGGCGGAGGTGGCGGCCGCGGCCGCCGGCCTGTACCCCCACCCCCCGCAGCCGGCCGCCGCCTATGTGCTGCTCGACGCGGGTCTCCAGTACTGAGGGGCTCAGCCGCCCCGCTTCGCCGCTCCCAGGTTGATTGAAGTCGTTTTATGTAGCCTTTTTTTTCGTTTCTTGCGTTGAAGCTGAAGAGCGGAGGGCGTACGAAATAAGTCATTCAATCCGACGATGTTGTATTCAAAAGAGACGCGACAAGAGCAAAAAGGATAAAGGATATTTAAAATGAGACAGTTCAAGTTCAATTCAATAAAAGCAAATCGTTATTTTTTTTTATTTATAAACCCCTATTTTCGAAACTCATAATATTATTATTGGCAACCAGGGAAACCATTGTAACGGATAAAGTAAGACAACGTCGTAATAGTAGGTGATTTATATGCATAATAAAATTAATTGTTATATTATTAAATATGGCTACTGAAACCCCCCTGATCGCGGTTGTTAATAGGGGTATCTCTCAACCAGACAAATTCTTATCCACTGAGTAATGCAAATTGAGGAACAAAACTTAAGCAATTCGTAATACTGCATAATATTTTAAATACAGTAATCTTCGTTTATAACGAAAAACCATTAATTTAACCACATGGGGCCGGCGAAAATAATTCTTTATAAGCGGAATATCATTAATCTGTAATTCTACTTCGGCTAATTGATTAATAAGAACACTTTGCGGAATATTTCGTGACTGAAGGAAATGACGAACGTTATCAGTATGTTGGAAGTGTCTCTGATGTGGTGGTTGGAACTCGTCTCAATTCTGTACTTACAGGTTCTTCTTCTTCCGCCTCCTCATCGTTATCAATATAAAGTGAAGACACAAGCGACAATGCCCTCATCATTCGGCTAATGTCAAGTCAAAATCATTTTCGACTTCCAGGAAACCCCCGTGTTAAAACCAGTTAAAAGTTGTTTTGATATCCTCTGCCATGCGATACGAATGAAGCTTATTCCATCCAGAAGGTTGATTGAAAAATTTCACCTACACTATCATCAAAATCTATAATCTCTTTGTGCACACTGTTGTTTGGAAATGGTATTTGGTGGAATGAAACTAACTTGATGCATTCCAAATTTCTAATATGTGGTTGAGTTGGGCAGTTGTGCAATATGATTCTTCGGTATTTATATACGGTTTTTTTTTATTCGATTTGTAATTTACTGACAACTGTACGACCTTTTTAAAACATCTAGGGTTTTTGTATTTCTTAATCACCAATAACCATATTTTTTCTGCTCATGTTAAATGTGCCAAAACCACCACAGTGATTCTTTGGAAACCTCATTGTTCTATCGGGTAGAATAACGCGAACCCTTGTTCTGCAGACGATCGTCGACAACGTTCATATCGACAGCAGAAGATTTTTTTTTAACCTTTTTAAGCTTCTTATTCTTCTGATTAAAATCAATAGTCGTAGGGTTTTTATTTTTTGGTACTTGATACTATTGTCAAACATGTTCAGTATTTTTTCTCTATTTTTTCAAATTGTACTCATTGTACAGAATTCGGTGAAATGCCGTTTTTGGTTCATTTTATCCGAAAATTCGTTATTTGCGAAAAAAATAACACGTATTTAGTAATACCGAAGTTCGTACGTATGATTTGGTTCGTTATAAACGAAAGTTCGCAAAAAGCGGGTTCCTTATAAATGGACGTTGCTGTAATTAATAATCTTCTTAACATTTGATTTTAATTCAATACCACAAACACAAAACCTAACAAGCAGCCTTAACTAAATAAAAACTCACCACTTGGTCGCCAAAAACAAACCACTGTAATTAAACTAACCTAAAAAAAAATTAACAATTTTGTTGCCTTGGATGAAGGTTAAGTCTCTTGTGACGACAAATTCGAATTCGTCTACATAAACATTAACGAATGGTTTGGTTTTCCATCCTTGTGGCGGTAGAACGGATTTTGTTTAATTTGGTTTAGCGAGTAACGTATGCTAGGCTTGAAAATGTCAATTTTTTAGTTCATGCAGTGCCAAGTCACCGTGAATGTAGCTTATACCTACGAAAACTGAAGTTGGCATGTTTTTAATTGGTGGTTTGAGAATCAAAATATTTCTCAAAACGCAAAATCACCAACAGCAATTCAGGATGTTAAAAATCTTAAAGCGTCCCATGGGTTTGGGTCAACATTTAAACGGTTCGTAGCGGTTTATAATGTGATTGTGTGTCGACCGGAAATGTTAAAGATTTGTCGCGTCTCTTGGATATAATATCTTTAATTATGTCGGACTGGGAGCCGATAAGTGTTGAAATGATTTATTTATTTTGATTTTTTTATTAGTTTTGATTAGTGCTATCAAAACTAATACGTTATTCTGATTTAAAAGGAAAGTTCAAATTAGACGAAGGTTTTACCAATCTGTCTGTGCTGGAAAATCACTTCATTACCTTGATTCCCTTCGAGTTGCGGGGGAAGTCTTGCAAATGACTGGGATTAGTTTTGATTAGCCGTCCGACCAAACAATGTATCGGTATAGTTTCGGATATTGATTGCGATGATGAGCGTTGAACCGCGTTTTATATTAATTTAATTAAATATTTTTTTGAGAGTGGCTTGCGTTATCTGCTTGTTTTGTTGCATTTTTATGTTTTCAGCAATCAAGAATATTATTATCAACATCATTATACGGTGAACGGTTAAAATATGAAAAAGAAAATCATTTAAAAATGAGATTTTGGATTCATCCATATAGAATAGAAAGTACTTTTTATTTGCAAATGAATACAAAACAGAAATTTAACAGGCAAGTAGCTACTGCCAGTAAAGTTCTTAAGTTGTCACAATTCCATTTCTGTCAGTAAAGAAAGTGAATATTAAAATTGAATTTTTAATTTTAATTTGATATGGCTACAAAACGAGAACTAAAAAGGAAGGTTGTAATTTACTTATCGCAAAATATTCAGAAATGCCACATCCATAATGAGTAAAATTTAAAAACGCTTCAAACATATTGCTCAAGATATATTCATTAATTTGCCTTATTTCGTATCTAATTCTAAATTTTATCTATCTGTAGATCTTGCAGGTCATTCTATTGATTCCATTCTACCAATCCACTAGCCGCACCATCCTGTGAGAGTAAGATTTTGATTGAAGAAATGAGGACCAATAATTTTGTTATTCAAAATCCATGCCCGAATATTTACTTTTTTGTGAATGTTGTGTATTATCCATCGATGATTATTTGTAGTAAAATAAATACAATAATATCAGACGATTAAAAAATACATTCATGTTGCACATTTCCATCATAGTTTCACAAAACTATAGTCTGGGGTCAGAATAATCTTCGTTCAACTCTAGTAGAAATGTAATCTTGTACGATCTTGTATGATGCTTTTCTTCTTTTAATACACTTACCGTTGGCTAACACAATTATAAGAAACTGCTTCAGAAGTTGAAGATGAGTATGAAAATACTTAGCGTTTGGAAAATAGTTTTACTTATTTCTACTAACTAAACTCTGTAGAATAGATAAATTCAGTTTTATTTTGCAAAAGAACATTTTATTGTTATTGTCATATAAAAGTAGTTCTTAATTATATTTTTAAAAAATAATCAAATTTTAATAAATCTTGTGTTTAGTACAGCACTAATTGTCAAAACAAACAAAAACAATTACATATATTTGTTTATGACAGCTTTTTTTCTAGTTTTTTTTTACAAAAAAACCTCATAGTAAGGTAAGTCATCTTCTTTTGCCCATTCTATCACCAAATTAAAAGACTGATTTTTTTTATTTGAGTCATCCAACGTTTTTTCATTCTCTTCAATAGGAGTAGTTTCACTTGAAGAAAAAAACATGTTTTTATTAATTTTGTATAACTGACACGGGAATTTTATTCCATGCCTACACCACTAAATAAAACATCTTTCAAATTCATAATTTTGAAGCAACGAGGAGATTTCGATTTTCCTATCATCATCAAATGCACTTTATGCGTACCTGTAGCGTTGACGCATGGCATAGTTGTTACCCTTTCCTTCATTGCTTTTCTTCCAACAGCGGATTTTTGTGTTTTTTTTTTATAGACGAGACCAGTTTCGTCGCAATTATATATTTGTTCAGGCAAAAAGCCATTTTCAGCAATATAATTTTTAAATTCATTGGCTAGCTCCATATTGCAAGTCATACTCTCTCCACAAATAAAGAAAATCCTTTTACTTTAAAATTTTTAATTTCGTTAACCATCCATCACTTGCAACAAATGTTTCAGGTCCGTTAGTTCATCTATTTGCTTCGAGTGTTTTTATCATTTCATCAGAAACTACATCGTTTAATTGTCGCCGCTGCGAGAACCAAGAAAACACTATATTGTTGATTTCACTATATTTTATTGTCTTCATAGGATGAATCTTACTCTGATTCACATGCGTTTTGGATACATATTTTTCTAAATTTTCTTTATTTTCTTTTACTCTACTTATTGTAGATTGGGTAATTTTATATTCGTTACAGAAGTCCTTAGTTTTTTTTATCATTTTCAATATCCTTTAGAATGGACAGTTTGTCTTTTAACGAAATTGAACGTCTTTTTTTCTTCCGATTCATATTTTACGGTTGAATTTAATGCACAAAAATATTAATTAATTAATCTTGTTGCGAATAGCTCATTTTATTCCTGAATTGGCCTAAACTTAACTCAAAAATTTAGTTTAAAAAAAAGTTTCTTATACAGAACAGTTGAACAAAAAAAATGCTCTAAAGAGGTTGCTTATAGAGCGTTGACCGTAATGCAAGTTCAACCCCTAAGTAATATTTAAATAGATAGTTGCATATTATATTTCAGCCTTAACAAACAATAACAATAACAGGAAAAAAAATCGAATAAGAAAACAATAAAAAAAGAAAACCAACAACAAATCCTGCTCTGGGCAAAGTCGCCTGCTAATCACAATTATTCCAAAAAATGAAAATGAATTTGTTCCATATTTTGGCCGTTAACTGTATACAGTGTCACTGATAAAGTCCGCTTCACATTTAAACATGTTTTAATTATAAAATAAATATTTATATTTGGTGTTAAAACATTAAAAGCATATAAACTTTGCGTCAACTTTGACGATAAATTTAGGGAAAAACTATTAAACTATTCAGTCTGGTTCATATAATTAGTTGGATTCAAATTCCTGTAAATTAGGGTGTCAGGTTGAAAAAAACGTTAAATTTGTTTGTTTTTCTTTTAATTTGCCCATTTGGAGAAAGCTGGAAAAGTTGTCAACCCTTTTCAATAAATTTTTCCGATATTTTCAAGAACAACCTGATTTTTAAATATATTTTTCTAAGAAAATGTTCAACTAGTAACTTTCAACAAACTATCTCTCAGCATTAAAATTTGCCCAGACTCATACAATTGGGACTTTAGTGGTGACACTGTATAAATTTTGACATCCGTCTTTTTAATGACGTCATAAAACATTTGATAAAGCTGCCCGCGCATGCCGAAACTTCGCGATCTAATTTGGGCCGCCGTTAATTCGACTTCTTTCAGTTTGACTATACGGTGTACGGAGGCGGTGGCGGCGGGGGCGGCGTGCCGCCTGGGCCCCCGCCGGCCGCCTTCGGCCAGTGTCAGCCCGGGGGCGGCGGCTCGCCGTCGCGACCCTGTTATACGAACCCCTACGGACCGGCGTCCGGCGGCCCCCCCGAAGCCCTGTTCTACAGTCCGATGCCCGTTTTTCATCCCGGCGCCCCATTGGATCCCGCCCACGCGGCCGTTTACGCCGCCGAAGCTTTTGACATGGGCCCTCCGATTGCTCAGTACGAGGTATGTAACTCCCGTTATACTTTATACGTTATACTTTAATACATTTTAAGAAGAAAACTTCATATAAACATATGTCCTAAACGTCTTAATTTTTGAAATACAGAGTGGTAAAGTTTGTTAATGATTATTTGCCCTCAAAGTACCTGTTTCAGTAAACCCATTTGAACATGTTCGACTATCTGGGATGACTATTAGGAAAACGCTTTAATAATCGTTTAGCTTCCGGCGCACCATTTTTATATAACCATACATAAAATGCAAATCTGTCTTTAGTGGAGTCGACCATTCTTTTTTAAAATAACATTCCTCGGATATTTTAAACACCAACTTAATGAGACGCGAAGAACTGAATTTAAATACTGGTTTCAAACAATCGCCTTGACAACAGAATTAATAATTTTTACAGACACAGCCTACTACAATGATAAGAAGTTATTATAAAGATTTGAAAAATACACCTCAGATTTTACGTACTTTGATTTTTTTAAGTATTGACTTAAGTATTACGTAAGTAAGAAATAATACATGCTGTTCTCATGTTAACGCTATTGTTATGACCACGCAGAGATGACGTTTTTATTTTATTATGCAAAAAAAATAAATTTCTATATCAATGATTGGAGATTGTAAGAACAATGTTTATTTTAAAAGAAATGAGTGGCGCACCATCAATGTCTGCCAAAATAGACATGTGAAATTCCGTGTAATTACCACCGGTGATTTAAAAAAAAAATGTTGCATACTAAATAATGTCACTTCATACACAGTTCATGTGTGCTAAAATTCATTGAAATATCTAAAGTATTACAGATAATAAAAATATATATTTTATTTATTTTACCACCCTGTATCTCAAAAATTAAGAGTTTTAGGACATATGTTCATGTGAAGTTTTCTTTTCATCTTTCTCATTAAATTAGAAAGCGGCCTGTATATTTTACTTTATGTACGGTTTAATAATGTCTTGCGGGTGAATTTACACTCTTATATTTCGGATGTATACTTTGTACTTTGACGTACACCCGATCAAAGCACCAAGGACCCCCTTTTACCGCGTTTTGTGAACATTTACAAAGTTTAAATATTAAACCATCTTTATTTAGACATAATAAAATCACGCTGCGATATTAGAAATAGAAATTAAGATAATAAGATAAGTAAAGAGCCGGGAAAATTAAGATAATAAGATAAGTAAAGAGCCGGGAATTATTTTCGATTTTCTAAAGTAGCCACCAGGGGTCGTAATTATTATCTTGCACAAAAAAAATCTTCTTTTTTTCTACGAAAATTCCTTAACCATGGTCTTAAAGCTTAAATCTTTCTTTAACCACGTGCGCGCTACCTCTGCAAGGACAAATAAATGTTCATATCTCCAAAAATGCATTTTAATAAAAAACTGTGCTGACCTGTCGCGATTGTGATTGCTTACCTTACCTCTTTATTCACTCAAATCACAGAGCTAAATAAACTGCTAACTCAACTGCAATCCAGTCGTAAAAGGTAAAATATCTTAACGGAAAGCTCGGTGAAACTAACAAAAACGCAGAAAAATTCCACGACACCTTTGGAAACATAACCTCAACAGATTGGGAACAAAAAATAACTGCATGTTTAGAGGCCAAGCGACTTCACTCGAAACGTAGCTTCAAACACTTCACAGTCACATATCACTTTCTAAATATATTCCAAAAATTAGCGCAACCAGCGCCATCTTTTAACAATGGAAACAATGAAACATACCAGCAAAGAATAGCAGTTTGCAAATTCAAGAAATCTTCGCTCGAAATGTAGAGAGGCTGCAGCGAGTATTGATCAAAATACGATCTAATTCTAATGCAGCAAAAACTAGCAAGATCACATGTCTGTCTTATCAACAGACGCAGACCATCCAATAAAACCAACCAAAACTAACGAATTTTTTTCAGCATTCCCACTAATTTATTTAAATGTCCAAAGTTTAAAAAACCAAGTAAATCTAATCGACTTATTTACTACGGAATGCAAACCCACTTTTCTCTGTTTGACGGAGCACTGGCTCAAAGATACACACACACAACAATACACACTTAGACGGATATTCTCTGGCCTCTGTGCGGGAGCGATTTAGAGCAGGGGGTGGGGGGTCACTAATATATGTGAGTGATAATGAAGTCAAATCTTGTTCAAAAATAAAATTGGTAAAAAGGCTTTCTATTGAACAAATAATAGGATCAGTTATTACATACAGTATCAATTTTTTTTCCCTCCCGCTCCCTCTATAAAAAGAACATGGTGAATAAATATATATAATATATATATATATATATATATATATATATATATATATATATATATATATATATATATATATATATATATATATATATATATATATATATATATATATATATATATATATATATATATATATATATATATATATATATATATATATATATATATATATATATATATATATATATATATATATATATATATATATATATATATATATATATATATATATATATATATAAAGACTGCAAAAAATGTTCGACAATGAAAAAAGCATGGTTTCCAAAAAAATCGTTCAACTGAAACAGCAACAGAAAATTGATAAAAACGAGGTGGTTGCTAAAATTTTCTTTGACCTGAAAAAGCTATACAGAAATTTCAGACCTACTCTATAATAACCAACTTATATTAAACCCTGAAAAACTGTAGTTCAATTCAAAAGTCAATACATAAGTCCTTTAGCCGAGTTGAGTGTCCAAAATAGATTAAAATGATATGACTAAAAATTCGCATACAAAATTTCTAGGTACAGAACTTGTCAATCAAGGTGGTTCAACTACGTATCCAAAAAACCTAATAGCTCATATTTTGCCGTCTTAACGTGGAAATCTTCCTTAGATACCTCTTAGTAATATCTTCCAATATCATAAGAAGAGCAGCAGACTCGGACCGAACCTTTGTCGAATAATAAAGTATAATTCTACTAATGTACAACTTTAAACCAGTAGAATCGTGTAGAAATATTTTTAAAACTAAAAAAACTTTGACAGGTATTATTATTCGACAAGAAATAAAAATTACTTTCAGTTAAAAAAAACTATTCCTACAAAAAATCACCTGCTGGAAATAGAGACGTGTAGCAAAATAAATTTAAAAAATATTGAAAATCTTTACTGACAACAATTTTTTTTTATAATCTATTTGAATATGAAAATCATATGAATAATAGGGAAAAAAAGTTTATATTCCATGACACAATTTGGCTCTTTGTTGGTCTTTTTCACTTAAAAATTGCGATTTTTGTCTGACTAAACATTCCTTTGTTATATTGATATTGGTGAATAAGTGTCTACTCTCTATCACCAGGGAGCATTTTCAGATATAATCACAAAAAAAAATCTGAAAAAAATAATATATGCAACGATATAATTTTTTAGGTCATTAGATAGTCAAATAAGGGCCCAATAAAAACAGCATCGTAATGTCCTACCCTAAAATGTGAATAACATTTATCAATAACAGCTCAAAATTTATGTCTAATTGTTCATAATTTTCCAAATATAAGTTTGTAACTTATCAAATCAATTTTTTTTCAATAAAAATTAGGTCTAATCAATGATTCGACAACTGTCGGAGACTAACTAATTTTATTAACCATTGACGTATTTAAGTAATAAAATGTGGAAGTTAGAAATTAGTAAAACATCTAACTAAACAACTAATTCATTTCTAATTATCAATATTTTTTCTGTAAATATTATTCAAATGGCATTTAAAACGTCTTATCTAAAAACCCATCTTAATCCAGTGCCTCGAAGAAATCGATATGTTAACGAAGAAAAGTATTGATTATTTCAATACTCATTTTACTCTAACTACTATGTCACAAGTCACAAAAAAATAAGTGATGTTTTATTTCAAGTGGACATAGAAAAATGCATTATCTGTAAAAAATGAAAATTTAAAAAATTATACCGAAATTTGGCAAAAAATATATAGGTCCTCTGAAACTTTTTTTTATTTAGTCTATGTAGTCTGAATCATCACTATCACGAACATTATTTTCTGCCTCAATATTAATTTTCCCTCATTTACTGCTGGCAAGCTTATTAAACTTATAAAAATGGTGGTAGTGCGGGGAAATGTAAGGCAGCAAATCAGACATGTGCTTCTCTTTAATGGACTTGACTGGCCTACGATTTGGAACAATATATACCAAATTGAGAATCCTTCCTTTTATAGGAGCCTTCTGAAACGGAGAATCGTTTTGCACCGTTTCATTGTAAAAGATCGCATTAGGTTCATTTTTTCGATACCATTTTAATGGCAACCAAATGATTTTATCCGCGTCGGTATAGGTTTTTCTATTACAAATGTACTCTTCTAACGGTTTTGTTGAAATGTCAAATAAACCTTCGTAATGGAAATATTATTGAAAGAAAGTTTACCAGGTCCATTTTTTTTTTCATAAGTTAACCACCAACAATTGTTTAAAAAAAGCATTAAAAAGCAATCACGTGAACACTTCACATTTATTTTTAAGCCCAGAACCCTCGGCAGAATCAGTTGAATTCTCCTCGTTTTCTGGAGTAGAGGTCATTCTGGTCATTTTCTATCGATTTTGGTTCTCATTTTCACACATTGCGAAGTAAAACTCGCTAAAACTAAAACGCCCAATGAAAATATGAACTATAAGGTGAAAATTAAAAAGACTTTCAAAAAAATATTGATTTAAACTGATCCCTCTATATATGAAAATAAATTAGAGCTCAAAGGTCAGATTTTCACGAAATTATATCTTGTGTCTTTATCAAATGTACATTTGATAAAGACACGGTCTTGTCGAAACAATTGTATATAATTTCGTGAAAATCTGAACCTTTAGTTCTTATTTGTTTTGTTAAATGGGTTTTCATTAAGTAAAAGCCTCAACTCCTTCCTCAAAGCCGAACTCAATTCAACCCTCGATATATAATTATTCAAAATAGTTTATAATTATTATAATA